GGGGGGGGGGGATGGAAAAAAAAGAGAGAGAGAGAGAGAGAGAGAGAAAAGTCCACTTATCGATAGATAACACCAATCTGCTCGAGCTTACTAGCTTAGCTCTCCTCCCACTCAGCCCCGCGCAACCAAAACTCAACTCACAGCTTATTAGCCTCAAAACCACCACCACCACCACCACCACCGCCATCGACACCTATCCCATTCTTTTTCTCCAACAACGGCCAAGTCAGAGAAACGGCGACGACAAAAAAAAAAGATCCAGATAAAGCACAGAAGCAGACAACCCGAAAGAGAGAGAGGAGAAGAAGAAGAGATGGCCCTCCCGACCGGCCAGGGCCAGACCCCGCCTCCCCTCCTCCTGACCAAACGTCTAACGTCGTTCCTCCACTCCAACCGCACCCCGCAGCTCCCCACGCTCCTCATCACCACCCCGACGGGCAAGCTCCTCGCCCACGCGGGTTCGCAGCCCGTGTCTGTCCTGCGTACGCACGCCACCGTCGCCGCCTCCCTCCTGGCCATACACACCTCATCATCCACATCCCTGCCCACGGCTCTACCCGGCGGGGCTGCCGCCGCCGCCGCCGCCGCCACAACCTCCTCCTCCTCCTCCTTCCCCTTCCGGGGTGGCACGACGACGCCTCCTGCCGCCGGACGCCGTTCCGGAATCTCCTCATCCGCTACATCGTCTGAATTTGGTGACGACCAAGATTACAACAACAACAACAACAACAACAACAACAACAACAACAACAATGCATATCATCGTGGTAGAGATGACGACTATGACGAAGACGACGATGACGACGACGACGAAGACGGCAATGACTACTACGACTCGTATGACGACGGCGACGACGATGGGAACGGAAACACCGGTAGACTTCGGGGACGTCTCCGTCGTAAGCAGCAGGATGCCGCCGCCGCCGCCGCCGCCGCCGCTGCTGCTGCCACCCAGGCCGCGAGGAATACTATCCGTCCCGTCACCATAACCGTCCAGCTGTCCGGCGGTACCGTTCTCATCCGTCGGCTCAAGTGTCGGCTCTTGTTCGTCTGCATCGGCCCCTCGTCGTCGTCGTCGTCGTCGTCGTCGTCGTCGTCGTCACCGTCAGATCATCAGGATGGCGCATTGACGCACCACCACCATCAGCAGCAGCAGCAGCAGTACCACCACCACCACCATCATCGTCACGAGAACAGCGGTGCCGCCGCCGCCGCAGACCACTCCGCTCCTTACCTCTTGCCTCCTTCCGCCAACGTGTCTACCAGTCCCAGCGATGCCGGGAGCCTCGTCAGCGCAGGCGCACAGACGACTACCAGCCTCGATAGTCACGGTGCGTCCGTCGTCGTCGCCATGCGCAGACAAGCTACCGAGATGGCTAGGTGGTTGGATGATAAGCTTGGTACCTTGGTTGTTCCCGACGAGGGTGTTGGTGTGGAGTAGCCTTTTCTTCTTCTTCTCTTGTCTCTCTTTGTTTTCCACGTCTATGCCAAGGGGCGTTTATTGGACTGGCTTGTTCAATCGGAGTCGTTTTGCCGGCTGGTCATGATTCATAGTACATTTTTATTTCTCTTCTTGCAACATCGGATATACCTTAATAAGGAGCTTCCTATTTTGTCCAGCACATGTCTAATCTGCTTGCTTGGAACAAAATCAACTTATATATATATATATATTGTTTGTTGTACCTGAAAGACATGCCTAGCATGGCCAACATCCACATGCTTGCCTGCTCGCATATTGATACAGGATTCTTTACCATACACCATCTTGAATCATTACTTTACTACCTACAAATCCCATTCTGCCATGTGATGGAAATCTCCTCTCCCCCTTCCATCTCTACCATGTGGAAGAAGAGCAAATCGAACGCCATATGATGTGTAATACTGGAAGATAGGAGAAAAAAAAAGTTGATTTTAAAAAAAAAAAAACATCCGAAAGGAAGAGGAAGAGGGAGGGGGGAACCGTGGAGGAGCGGACAGATCGTCACTCTATGCTCATCCTCATGATACCGTCATTTGTGTCCACCATGCCCTGGAACCCTATCCTCCCCTTGTTGTTCGGTGGTGCCCTGCCGGGACCGCTGCCATTCCCGCCGCCCTGTACGCTGCTGCTCCCAGCCATGCTCCCCGAGTCGCTGGTGGCGCTTATGCTCCCTCCCCTGTCGGCGCCGTTGCTCCCGGGCCTGGAACCCCAGGCCGTCACGTCTCGCTGCATCGGGCTCTGCGGCAGTGGGGAGTTGTGCACGCTCAGGCTGGGGCTGACGGCGCGCCTCTTGAAGCTCGACGGGTCGAAGTCGTCGTCTCGCCTGCGCTTGTTGTTGATGCGCCGGGCGATCTCTGCCGCCGTGGCCGTCGGAGGAGGGGGTGTCCGCTGCGCCGGACCCGGCGCCGGGGGGGCCGGCGGCGGCGTCGTGGAGCGGTTGTTGCCCCCGCCGCCGACGCTGCTCGTCTCGGAAAACGTGTCCCAGAACACCTTGCCCTTGGAGTTGCGCATCACCTGCTGCTTGAAGCTGCCCGACAGTCCGAGTGCCAGGTCGCCCATCATGTCGTCTTCCGGTATGTCGTCCAGCGACGGTTCCCGGTTCGGCGATGAGGGGGCCGTCGTCACCGAGTCCGGCCCCGACCCCGCCCCCGGCACATCCGTCGGTGCCGAGACCGGGACCGGAGGAGCCGGCGGCGGCGCCCTGCGTGGTTCGAGAGCCGGCACGTCGCTGTCTCGTACCTGCTTGACCACCTCGGCCTCTCGTTTGCACTCGGCGTCGGCGGGGGCGCCCTCCTCAAAGAGGGCGGCCCGGATGCGGGCAAAGGTTTTCGTCTTGGGCTGTCCGTGGTGTCAGACGGGTGCGGGTGGTGTGTGACGGTGACATGTGCGGAGTGCGTAAGACGTACCAATAGGTTGCCGCGTCGGGTGACGGCGCGGCGCACCACATTCCTCCCCCCATCGCCGCTCGGCCCGTCGGCGTCCTCGCCGTCCATGCTCGATATATGAAGCCGGTTAGCCTGCCAGCTGATACTGTCCCTCCTGGCGTTGGACGGCGGGGAACCCGATACAGACGGGCCCCCTGCTCCGGCTGCGCTGCTGCCGAAAGGCAGGCGCGACTTCTTGCCGCCAAACGGCCTGCGGTGGTGTCTCTGGCGCTGCTGAAAGCTGACGAGCCCGCCGCCGCCGCTGCCGCCGGTAGCCGGCGACCCAAAGGCGCCGCTGGGGGCCGTCCTCGACACCTGCGGTGTCATGAGGTAGGGCTCCTCCATGTTGTGGTCGTCTTCGTCGTCCATGAGGTCGTCGTCGTCCGAATCGCTGGACGAGTCGGACCCGATAGCCTGGGCGCTGCTGCCGAGCGAGTGGCCCAGGTTCATCCTCTCCTGGTCGCCCATGATGGACCACAGCGATGTGGACGTCGTCTCGGGGCCCTGACCGCCGCCGATACCGCCGAAGGGTGTGGCAGAGATCTCGCGACGGCGTCCGGGTATGTTGATGGCCTCTCTGCCGCTGGTGGCGCCGCCGCCGCCGCCGCCGCCGGGGCCGCCGGGAGACGACTCGGGAGACGACTCTGCCAATGTGGAGTGGTGGAGGCTCGTAGCGGCGCGGGAGAAGTCGAGGCCTCGCGAGCGTCGAGGCAGGACGTTTGTCGGTGAGGCGTAGATGCTCGAACGGTCGGGATGGGGGGACAGGGGAGCCGCTGACTGCTTGGGCTGGGCGGCTGCTGCTGCTCCCGTCAATGACGATGCGGCGGCCGACGGAGGTGGCGGGGTCGGATTGCGTAGCGGCTGCTGCTGTTGCTGTTGGTGCTGCGCAGGTGACGGCAGCAGTAGCGATCTCCTGTTGAACTCGAGTGATATGTTGCCCTGGGCGGCGCGCGGGAATAACAGACCGGATGGTCGGTGGGGGGTCACGGGAGCGGCACAGGAAGAGGAAGCAGACGTCAGCATGGTGCTGTCATCCTTGGATGTCGTCGAAGGCGTGGTGGTCTCCGCGGCGACGTGTCCGGGGGGTGCAGCACCGCCGCCGTCGCTGTCAGACAGGGAGCGAATCTTCTTGGCCATGGGGGAGCGCGCCAGGCCGCTGCCGCCTCCGCCGCCGCCACCTGGACGAGCAGCAGCACCAGCAGCACCAGCAGCAGCGGTGGCCGCATCGGTACCCAAGATCATTCTGCCGCTGCTGCCATTGCCACCATCCCCTCCTAGATCCATAATCTTCCTCCTTCTTTCCTTTTCTTTCCCGGTACGGTAAACTGCCCGTACCTCTCGAGAGTCGTCGTGAGCCAAGCGCGATGTACCTCACGTATCAAAGCATCGGGATGCGGGCGTGGTGGGTTAGGGAGAGTGGGTTTCAATGTTGATGTGGGTTTTCCCCCTTCGACACGAAGCAGCGGTCAACGGGTCTTGCCTGGTGCTCTCAACGGGTCGATTCCTCGGGATTCCGCTGATGAGACATGATTCTTTCCTTTTTTTTTTTCTGTTCTTCTCTTTTTTTTTTCCCCCCGTCTTTCCTTCGCTTTGCAGGGGAGAGGAGGAGATCGTTTTGAGAGATGACGAAAGAAGAAAGAAGCGTAACCCCGTCCTCGGCCTGATGACAGTTTGTTGGCGGGCGGCTAAGGCTTAACTTAACGCTCGTACTCGTCAGTACCGAGGGAAGGTCTAACTCTGTCTCTCCCCCCTCTCCCCCCCTCCCCCTTTTTTTGGAGCGTCCTGGAGAGATCCACTTTCCAGCAACTCCGAGTACGTTGTGCGTGTAAAGTCTCCGAGTCTATTATTAGACCTCAACCTACCCGTACTGATAAACAGTGGACGGCCCTCTGCCAGCTAGATAGCCCCCATCTTAGATCGGAATACTTATTACTGCTGTAGCTCAGCATTACTCCATGCAGTGAGTAGCACTTCATAACCGTCCTTGGCGTTCACGTTGGACTCAAGAGTTCCTCTGCATGCAGTGAAATCCTTCCGACTCCTCTTTTCGATACTATGCTGTTCCATGTATCCATCACGCGCATCATCAGATCAACACCTGTATGGGGTACAGAGAGAATCCAGGCATCCCCCTATTCCAATTCTATATTTGCTTATATATACATCAGAGCAAGATGCTCTCGTATACACATACCCCGTACAGAGATCCCTTCTCCTCTTTCGTGAAGATAGGCCATGATACCCCCGGTCTTGGTTTTTGTCATCAATGCAGCTGCTTCCCTCTCCTATACTAACCTTCCTCCCAATTCCTTCAACCTCTCTCTCTCTCTCTCTCTCTCTCTCTCTATCCGTGCTTGGCACTCAGGCTGGCGAAGGCGTCTGGGCTGTGACGCCCATTCGTCCATGCCAGGTCCATGCCCAGGTTGACACTCTCCCGGCTAGCCTTCCGCGGAGTGAATGCGTCGTCCGTCGTGGACGCTGCTGCTGCTGCCGCCGCCGCGCCCCCGCCGTTCATGAAGGGGTTGTTCGTGCCCTGCGCCGTGGCTGCGTGCGGCTGCTGGTGTTGCGTGGCCTGGTCCTCGGGTATCGACATCATGGCCGGTGCCTGCTTCTCTTCTGTGGGCGACGCCATCTTGGGCACGGTCGGGGCCGCGCCGTAGAGTGCCAGGATGGAGGCCTTGTCGTGGCGCGGGGCCTGCTGCTGCTGCTGCTGCTGCATGTACCCCTGCTGTGGGAGGTACTGAGGCTGCTGCTGCGGCTGCTGGGGCGTCTGCATCGGCGTCTGCACAGGGCTGGAGAAGAAGGGGTTGGAGACGGCTCCCATCTGAGGCTGGGGGGCGCCCATCGGGTTCTGGTATGCGGGCTGGGACTGCTCCGGAATCTGGCTCAGGCCCGCAGGTGGCCCCATGCTGACCGGTGACCTCGTAAAGGGGTTGTGCGCGAAGCCCGCCGCCGGCTGCTGAAGCTGGGTGTTGAGCATGAGATTCTGGTGCTGGTACTGCTGCTGCTGCTGCATGAGCTGTTGCTGTTGCTGGAGTTGCTGCTGCTGCTGCTGCATCGCCGTGTTGGCGAAGAAGGGGTTGTATCCCGTGGGCTGCGGCTGCATGGGTGCAGGCGAGGGCTGGGGATACGTCATGCTGTGGTAGCTGGTCGTGTTCTGGTAGACCTGGGGGCTGACAGGAGCCGAGGGGGCCACCTGCTGCAGCGAGGGCGGCGGCACCGTCGACAGCGGTGTGAGCCCGCCCGTCCTGTTGGGGAACAGCGGCTGCTGCTGGGCGTTGCTGGACTGTGCCGATATGCCCAGGTTCTGGAAGGCCTGGCTGAACTGATCCGTCGGTTGGGTCGGTACGCCGAAGGGGTTCAGGGACTGGCTGTACGGGTTGTTACTGCCCTGGCTACCAGTGGACTGCGCCGTCTGGGGCATCGCCGGCGGCATCGACAGGGCCTCGAACGGGTTCATCGAGGAGCCCGCAGGCGACGGCAGGCGATCCTGCGTGGGCTGAGCCCGTACGCTCAGCCCCAATGTCTGCCCGCCTTCGGTCTTGGAGCTGAGAGGTGTCGACGACCGAGCCGGGGGTGGGACGTCGTCGTGCGGAGGCGGCGGGGGGGCGTAGGAGTTCCTGTCTCCTTCGCCCAGGCGGACCAGGGCCTGGATCGCCTTCTCCAGGTTTCCACTGACCCCCTTGAGGACGATGGCGTTTCGCTGCGTGTCGTAGAAGCCCATGTCGCGCAGCTTGGCGAGCTTCCTGTCCAGGTCGTCGCCATGGTCGTAGTTGACGCTGGCACCGAACATCCTGGAGACTTTGCCGTTCGAGCCTTGGGACGCAGGCCGGTTCGCATCAGCACCAGGGGAGGGCGAGAGCGAGAGCTTGGAATCCTTCTTGGGACGGGGGAAGAGGGACGAGGCCGACCGGAGGCCGAACTTCGACGCCGAGTTCTTGGGCGGAAGCGGCGGCGGTACGCCCTCGTCGGAGACGGGGCTTCCCGGCGGCTTCGCGCTGCTCGTCGGCCTCTTGCTGCTCGGCGCAACATTATTCATGTACTTTTGGCGGATAAATCGCTCCATGGCTGAGTCGGCTTCCTCCACATCGATCGGCACGGGAGGCTTCCGATTCTCGGCGTTGTAGATCTGGTTCGAGGTTACGTTTCCGACCTTGCGCATGTTCTGTTCCACCGATGCCCAAGTCAGTACAAGGTATCGGCCATCACCCCGGTTGTGAGGGACGGTTGGTAGGTAGGTAGGTCTGTCTCACGTCGACTTGCTCGTTCGTCCAGCTGTCCATGCTCAGCGACTTGACTTTCGATATGTGCGTGCCGAGCTTCCTGTGTATCGTAGCGCACCGCATGCACAGGAAAACGCCAAGACTCCACGATGCCCATGCTGTGAAACGTGATCTTGTCAGCGGCGTTGCGCCAAACGTGCACGCAGAGGATGCGACCCAACTCGGTCGTACAGGTGACGGCGGCCTCTTACCTGGGCTGCGCGCATGGCAGTCTGCGCAGACATTGTTCCCGGGCACCTTCTGCACCAGTTCCTGAAGGACCTTTTCGTTGCGCACCTGCTGGCGCTTGGACATGGCGCCGGACATGGTGCGGACGGTTTGGGCCTCGGGCGTTGGGCTTCCCTTCTTTCCGAGATGGTTCTTTCTATCTGCCTGACGGCGGCGACTGGGTCATCAGAGTCGTCGGCGACATCGGTCGACAGAAAGTATCTTGACGGGTAGTAGACACGAAACCGCAGGCACCAGGCAGCGCAAGTCTCGCGATGACGTATTGTTCCGTGTATGTGTATGACGGCTATCGAAGTTGAGCGGCTGGAGCAGTGTTCATCTTCCGCCGAGGCTCTTTCCTGCCCTTTCTTCCCTCTCTCTTTCCTCTTCTCTCTCGCCGGACGTCTGTCTGGGAGGGGCGCAGAGCGGGTGAAGATGCCGGACGGAATACCCGAGGCTTGCAGAGGGAGGGGAGCGAGACGGAAGGCGTGCAGATACGGCGCGGTTCCGGATGCGAGAGTACAGAGTAGGAGATGAAGAGAAGGAGAGACGGCTCGAGATGAAGCAGCGCACGCGACTTGGGTTGCGGGACTATGGACAGTGATTCCTGCGGGAACTGGAAAAGGAGAGAAACGGCAGGATGGCACTCGGTGTTGCTGGTGTGTGTGGGCTCTGCATTACGGAGTACGAGTCGCTAGGTGCGAGCTACAGACAAGTTAGCACCAAGCAGGCCTGTATAGCGTATTCCACACTCTGTAAATTGTGGGGCAGTGGCGGCCTGGACGTAGATATTCATTCGATTGACAAGCCCCAACCTCCACTGGAGGCCAGTCCACTCCATGGACCGACCACAGGTGACCGTCCCACTGCCGTCTAGGTACGAGTACTGTGAGTGTGCGGATAGGGGGGGGGGGTATGCAGCCATGCTGTGTGTATCGCTGCGGCGCGGTGTGCCGCCGGTACGAGAGGCAGCCCTGCCATGTATCCATCCAATCTGTAATCTGTACGGATGGCAGCGGCTCGCAAGAAGAAGTGTACGGTAGCTGCAGCGTAATACCATCATGGAGTGCCAGGAGCGGAAATCTGGCCGCCTCTGAGTCCAGGAGATTATAGTGCTCTTTCCCGCCACATCTTTCGAGGAAAATTTAGGGGTCCTTCAGGACGACCAGCCCCCCCCCCTCCCCCGTGATATGGCCTGTAAAATTCAATATCAATATCTCCCCTAGCGAAAGGTACGGTGGATGAGTCCCAATAGCTCCAGCTGTCCCGGTGCTGATATTCAGCCTTCGATATATTATCATTACACTGCCCCGTTCCGTACATGGATATCACCACTAGCGCGGCACGGACGCTGGGGCTGGTAAGCAGGTCAGAAGGCGACTCCGATTCTGGCTTCTCCCCGACTCGATATTACATGTTGAAAGACAGTCGGCATCTGTACCATTATGGGGCAAGACCCGGCTCACCGGTGCTCTCTGTCACGTCTTCACTGCACCGTTGCCAAGGAGAGTCGAGATTCTGACAGGCTGAAAGGGAGCTCTCCATGTCAGCCACTCACCCTAGACTTGCTCTAGACCTGCTGTTCAGGTGTGGTTTCTTCTTCTCTTTCTTCTGCACCTTCTCTCGGATGGGAACTACCATCAACATGTGACTGCGAATTCTATCTTGAGAATAGTAGTCTCGATCCCTTCCTCCGTCAAGAAGAAAATCATGTACGGCATACGTCTGGTGCTGGTTTTGAGCATGCGTGTAATATCACTTACTCCCTGATGATTTGATGCCATTTACGTCTGGTGACTCTCGCACATGTCAGCTGACAAGTTACGAGTAAATAGTTTATAGAGGATAATGATGTAGTATTTTACCAACAACCCCCCACAGTTATCCGATAAGAGCGAAGAGGGGGGAGGAGGGGTGATAGAAGGCAGTGTCGACCGTCTGTACCGAAGAGGCAAAAGAGCGAACAATCTCACCAATGACGCCAGAGTTCAGAACCGAGGCGTGCCAGCAGAAGGTGTGCGGAATCTTGGATGACGAAGACAGGGGCAAGCTGCATCTATGTACATCTGAAGAAAGAACCAAATGATGGGATAGCTGGAAGAAGAACAAAAAAAAATAGAATGAAACAACTCTCAGATGAAATCGGGGGGATCTCGGAGGACGGATTCGAACCATCGACATCCAGATTCGACATCTCTGTGCTGAGGAAACACTCGATTACAGTCTGGCGCCATAAACCAACTAGACGACTCCGAGTTAGGAGTGTGTTTGCGAGGTCGAAAGCCATGACGGTTATGAATGGAGTGTCTGGTACGTTGACGCTAGATGTCGAGGATGGGACTGTACCTCGGAGCATTGCTGCATCATCAATGTGCATCTCTAGCAAAGCTAACACATGCACATACCGACACTACCATTATGGCTGCATGTCATACTACCTAGCAAGTCGTAACATGTATGATTACTTATTAGCATCAGTACTGTAGTGTAGGTAGGTTGAAACAGTGGCCCTACAAGCATCAGACACGAGCCGTCATACATCTAACCGTACGAAGGCCCCGCTAACAAGAAATCATTGCCGACCTCCCCTATCAGAGCCCCTATAGTTAAGGCGGGTCCTTGGATGAATTGTATACCTACTGACTATGATATGTATCTATTAACTGTTTTATTATACGAGTGAATACTCGTACATGCAATACCTACTACCTACCTGCACCATCTACCTACCCCTCCCTCTCTTCCCTCTCTTTTTTTATTTATTACTCTTCTTTTTTTTCCTCTTCCTTCCAAGTTACCGTTATAGAACATCAGCCTGTCGCTTACGTAAGCCGATATCGACTACATGTTAACAAGTGTCGAGTTTGGCAGTATCAAACGAGAGAACAAGAACTCGGCACCGAACAACACATGGCCCGCCTTTGGGTGTGAATTGTCCATATCTGCGGCGGTCGTCCTCATCTTTATACCATCGTCACCAGCACTGCCTCGCTCTCCTTTGTTTATTGCCTGCGTCTAATGTATCATCGTGGTCTCGCTCATGTTGAAGTCGACATCGTTCCTCTCTCGGAACCGACGAGAGCATGTCTGCTTTTGACCGACACTCTCGGAAGAGGTATGGCATGGCATTCGAGGCCATGGGCTCCCGAAGAGCAGTAGGGAAGTAACAGGGACAGGAGTACTGCTAGCCCCAGCCACAGTACAGTACCAAGGCGCCTGATATGCACCACTCATCTGTAAACCTTCTATATATTGACATACTGCTGCCTTGTGTTCAGCTTACGAGTATTACGTCCTGCAGTGAGCAGCACAATTGTACGAGGAGTCGTAATTCGTATTGCCGTCCCCGTACTTTAATGCGACCTGCTTTGTGCTGACAGCCGCCGATCCACAAACAAAACATCCACTCTGAACCACCAACCACCCGCTAAGGCACGCACCCCTTTCCCTAATACCAAACCTCCGCGCTGACTATACGTGGATATGGAGTAGCTGTCCTTATTCTGAATAGTCTAAAACCTGCAACCACCCCTCCTCCCCCCCTCGTTATTGACGAAGCCCACACACGCACACACACACACACACACTCTCTCTCTCTCCCTCTCTCTCTCCCTCTCTCTCCCATACCAACATACGTACCTCTATAACCCCACCTTCATAGCATCTTTTTTTTTTCCGTCTTTTTTTTCCGCCGCGTCTCTCACCGTCTACCTGCCACCATGGCGGGCATCGAGCATCTCGAAGTCCATTCAAGAGTAAGAGCTGCCCTGCATCTCCCTGTCCGATCCACGCTGACCGTGCCCGTCAATTGCCTAGTCCTACATTGTCCGCTGGGTCCATGCCGATGAGGGACATACTCTGTCGTGGAGCCTACAGCCTCACAAGAAGTCATTGTACGACCAACCTGCCCGCCTCTTCCCCCTCTCCGCCCCGCCCCTTCCGAAGCCGTCTCGGAAGCCTTCTCGACAGCCGCGCCGGATCGTTGTTCCCATCCCCACGCTCTCGCGGTACGCACTCGTCGACGTCTGTTAAACTGACAAGTAACACCCCGTGACAGGAATTTCGGCATCTTCAAGCATCCTGGTACCGGTGCGACCGCACTCCTCTCCTCGACCGGCGGCGACGAATCGACGTCTGCACAGACCACCGAGGGCAAGTCGGGCCGCCTCAAGCGAGATACGACAGCCCAGGACCTCCTGGCCAACAAGGGCTTCACGCTCGTCGAATGGGTGGGAAAATGCGAGGCCGACAAGGTGTCCATTGGAACCCATGACGTGGCCAAGGGGGAAGGCGGAATGTACGGCCTCGTCTTCGACAACACCTTTTCCAAGCAGACGTCTAAGACGGCCACTTTCGTCGTCCTCACCTATCCGACCGGTTCTGCACCCCAGACCGCACATCACATACCGAACCTGCAACTGCCCCATCCCAACGCCGCCAGCCAGACGAGCCTGGCCAAGCATGTCCCCAACCTCGATGGCAAGGCATCCGCGTCTTCCGACAGTCTGCCTAGCCACCACGGTACCACGGGCGGTGCACGGCCAGCATCTGCGAGGAGCGATGCACCCGCGGCGGCGACCGGAGGCAGCGCGGCCCGTCACGTCGGCACGTTGTCGAAGAGGCGCAGAAAGAAGGGGCAGGGGTACGCTCGGCGCTTCTTCTCGCTCGACTACTCTACGTGCACCCTTTCATACTACTACAATAGGAACTCTTCGGCGTTGCGGGGTGCCATCCCGCTCAGCCTGGCTGCCGTCGCCGCTGATGAGCGGCGCAGGGAGATTAGCATCGACTCGGGCGCCGAGGTCTGGCACCTGCGAGCTCCCAATAACAAGGAATTCCAGGACTGGGCCCAGGCCCTCGAGAAAGCGAGCCGCATCGCCCGAGGAGTGGAAGACCCTCCTCTTCCGTCTTTCAAGGCGAGCCTGGCGGTCGACACCAACGCCATACGAACTCCGCAGGTTGCCAGCCAGCAGGAGGAGCACGAGTGGAACCAGGTCGAAACGTTGGTGAGTCGCCTGGTAGGCGCTCGCGACGCGCTCCGCCGCCTCACCAAGGATATCGTCAAGGAGTCGCAGACGCAGGCGTCTGCGCCATCCACCCTGCCGGCCACACATCTTACGCCCCTAGGCTCCAACGGCGAAGACAAGCCGGAGGCCGCCTCGGCCCCCGGTACTCTAGCGGCAGAGAGGAAGCCGTTCTGGAGGCGCAAGTCGACCGCCTCGTCAACCACGCCGCAGCAGCCGGTCGGCGCGACACTCGCAGCCTCAACCCCCGGGGGCATCGCGCCGGTGGACTCGGAGAACGGATCGGACACCAGGGGCAAGGGGGCCAAGAATCAGATGTCGGAGGAGCCGTCAGTGCCGGCTCACTGCCAGGCGATCCTATCGGACATTGATGCGGTTGTGGCCGAGTTTACGACAGTCATCACCAACAGCAAACGGCGACGGATGGTGGTCCCCCTCTCGGCAGGCGGCGCATCGCGCACAAGCATGGATACTACGGCCTCTGACGAGTTCTTCGATGCCGAGGATACGGCGTCGGCTCGGGTGGCTAATATTGCGGGCAGCGACGACGAGTCGGAATCGGACGACTCGGCGGCGTCGTCGCACGATACGTCATCCATATCATCGGCCGACGACGAGGATCCGGCGGGGTTGGGAGACCTGTACCCGTCGAGACCCAAGAGCCTGACGCCGCTACCCATAGACGGGGTGGTGAGGAGGCGGCTGACGATACCGGAGGCGACGGTACCCCCGCCAAGCCTGATTGCGTTTGTGCGCAAGAACGTGGGCAAGGACCTGAGCACCATCAGCATGCCGGTGTCGGCCAACGAGCCCATCTCGGTGCTGCAGAAGCTGGCGGAGCAGTTCGAGTACGCGCAGCTGCTGACGCAGGCGGCCAAGCAGAAGGCGCCGACGGAGCGTCTGCTGTACGTGACGGCGTTTGCCGTGTCGCAGTTTAGCAGCCACCGGGCCAAGGAGCGGGCGGTCCGGAAGCCGTTCACGCCGCTCCTGGGCGAGACGTACGAGCTGGTGCGGTCGGAGCAGGAGGTGCCGGGAGGGTTCAGGCTGCTGGCGGAGAAGGTGCAGCACCGGCCGCTGAAGCTGGCGATGCAGGCCGAGTCGGCTCACTGGTCGTTTGCGCAGTCCCCGATGCCGGGCAACAAGTTCTGGGGCAAGAGCGCCGAGGTGACGACGGACGGGCGGGTCCGGGTGGCGCTGCGGCTGACGGACGGCAGCGACGAGTTCTACTCGTGGAACATCGCAACCATGTTCCTGCGCAACGTGGTGATGGGCGAGAAGTACCTGGAGCCGACGGGGACGATGAGCGTGGTCAACGACAGCACGGGGCACAAGGCGAGTGTCGAGTTCCGCGGCAAGGGTATGTGGGGCGGGCGCGTGGAGGAGGTGCACGTGACGACGTTTGGGCCGGACGGCAGCAACACCGGCAGCGGGCTCTCCGGCAACTGGACGACGGGGCTGGGCACGGTGGGCCCGGGCAAGAACGCGCCGCGCGACGAGATCTGGCAGGTGGGCAAGCTGGTGGACCGGGCGCCCCAGACGTACGGCCTGACGGAGTTCGCGGCCGGCCTCAACGAGGTGACGGCCATCGAGGAGGGCAAGCTGGCGCCGACGGACAGCCGACTCAGGCCGGACCAGCGGCTGGCGGAGCAGGGGAGGCTGGACGACGCCGAGAACCTGAAGGTCAAGCTGGAGGAGGCGCAGAGGGCTCGGCGCAGGGAGCTGGAGGAGAGGGGAGAGGAGTACAAGCCCAGGTGGTTCGTCAAGGCGGCCGAGAACGCGGCCGAGGGAGAAGAGGAGTGGAAGATGAAGACTGGGAAGGACTCGTACTGGGAGGAGAGGGCTCGTGGAGGATGGGCGGGTGTAGAGGATCTGTTCCACGTCTAGGCGCTGTATTCCTCTCTCTCTCTCTCTCCTGCCTTCTCCCCCCCTCTCGCCCCTTATCTTCTTGGGCAACACCTCTGCGTCTGTCAATTTTCTTCCATATGCGACAACTTCTCTCGTTGAGTCTTGTCGATAATGAATGAAACCCCCCTCCTTGAAGCCATTTTTCCGACTAGGAGGAGGGAGCAGTGGACCCCTAACCCCCCTCGACACGCTTGGGGATGGGGTTCTCTGACGTATGAGTCCTCTTCCATGCCGTCTTTTCTCTCGCATCCCCTTGCCTGCGTGCTTCACGCCCGGCCATGTTACGGAATATTAGACCAAGAGAGTAGAGAGTATCACACCATATCGGCAATAGCACTAGCATAATACTAGAAGTTGAGAATACGGTGGTGCATTACCTATTACTATAGTCACCAAAAAAAATAGGATTATTTCTGGGTCTCCTTAGATATGTACGTGCATCCGCAACCTGGGATATGGGTAAAGAGACAGGAAAGAAGATGGAGCCTCAGGAACCAAGGCGCCGAGCTGAAGCATTGTGCATGTCACTGTGCACGTCACCACTGGGCAGGTACGGAGTAATGATAGGCATGGGTAATTACTCATATCATTACCGTACTTTACCAAAGAAAGATGTGGACACTCGCATCAACGACGTAAGATATCTAATTTTTTTCATTATGAAAAAAATTGGCAGAAGAAGAGGAAAAGGAGAAGGAAGAGAGTTGCAAGCTGCACAGTTCCCGTGGGCGGTTTCAACATTACTCGGACCTAATCTCGTACAGAGGCGACGTCGGCGTCATCTTGGTCCCCTTTGGTCTCAAGTGTGAATTCTTGGACATTGTGATCAACAGGGAGGATTCGGGGATGTGCGAGTTATGTCTTGAGGGACACGGTGCTGCCTGTGCACGATTCGGTACTTTTGGACAGCAAAGGGCGGTGGTATTGGTAACTATTAAAATTGAAACCTCCATCTTTATCTCTATCACTCTTTTTTTTCTTCTCTAGAAGTCGTGGCTGTACAATGACGATGATCCGAATCTATACCTGCGTGGTTTTACTCCAGACTTACAGGATCTCTCCCCCCATGCTAGTCTACATGCTCGACGATGGAAGCCGGAAGATATCTCGTCTTGGCAGCTTGGCACTCACGCGGGAAGCCAGGCTCTTGCTATGCCCAGGCTTCGGGACGACGCAGATGCAGATGGACTGGGCTTGGCTTGGGCTGGGGGTGGAAGAGAAGAGCAGGGGGGGGGGGGAACCAGGTGTTAGGTGATGTGCTGGGGGGTGGTGGTTTGGGGGGTGGTGGTGGTGGAATTTTCATCGACGTCAGAAGTTAGTAGCAGGTAGATCAGAATGTCGACGGCTTTTGCGGCGATGAGAGAAAAAGAGGGTAAACCAGCGGTGGGTTTGGTTACAAGTGTTATGAGAGCAATCTAAGAGAAGCAAAGAGGATGATTTGATAATAAGAGAGTTGGGGAGAGACTCCTCTCGTACGAGGACCAGAAGCAGTATGACTAACAAAATCGAGTGCAAAAATAGCGACGCGTCTGGTATCTACAAGTCAGTACTCGGAATTAGACAGACGGCCGGCTGGGAGTGGGCCGAGGCGCCTAGGACCTCGAGGTTGTCCCCCTGACGATCTGATTGCGTGAGAGGGAAATAATGGGGATATGGGGCGAGTGACGAGGCTGTGCAGGCAGGGGGGGGTATTATTCCTTGCATAGCTAACTGCTACTGTTATTACTACGAGGGAAAGATGGTGTGAGTGAAGAAGAAGGAGAAAAAGAGAGCAACACCGCTAAGAAGTCTCGGTAAGTACGAGAGCACGAGAGTTGACAAGGATCCGCTGTTGGATAGCGAAGCAATGGGGGCCCAGCTTCGTCATCGTGCTCCATTGTCCTCATACAAGGTCTCTCAAGGTCTGGGTACCCGCTCTCGATCCCAAACATACAGATATCAATACACACCACGCACGAGACCTTTTAGGTCACGGCATGGAGCGTGGAGCATGGAAGCATCACAGTCATCAATCTTTCCTTGCTTTTCTCTTCTTCCTCTTCTTTCTCTCTTCCATTCGTCTCCTCGACCGCATGCCTGCGACGTAACGATCACAATCTCCATGGGACAGGCAAGCAGGGGG